TTAATTCCTCTGTTGAGAGAAGTAATTGAACCTTGTGACTTAAAGGTGAAAAACCTGCACAAATGTCAGTCTTTCAATATTCACCCATCTTCTACCCTAGAGATTCAATGTTTTGGTTATTATCTATAAGAGTATTTTTCTTTTCGTTTCTTCTCAGGGAACTTTGGCTGGAGATAAGAATGAAATCTTATTTTCTGAATTCAACATCAACTACAACAATGAACCTTTGATGTATAGAAAAGGAACTGTCTTAATATGGCAGAAGGTAAAAAACTATTACCACTAGCCTCTTGCTCATGTTTTAAATAGTTACACTGTGGCAGACAGGCTACACTGTAAAATCACCAGATGTATCTCAAATGGTTGTCTAGGTATAAATACTAACTAACTAACCATATTTGCCATGTAATGATGTGTAAGATGACTAATTGTTTTGGAGATGTCTTTGAGATATCTGTTTCCAGGAACATAATATAAAAATTAGTCTGTGAAGTCTGGCTTAGATACAAATTATGACCAACTAGATAAAACATGTATCGACAGATGACAATATGTATATTGTCTGGGCCTGTGCCAGGCCCTTCCCAGAATTAGGTCCCAAGTGTATCCATGGCAAAGGAATTACAACCTTTTGTTCAATAATGTAGCTCAGTTCATAGTACACTTAGTCCTTTTCTGCTTTAAAAGTAACTTGGAAATGTTCATCATTCTAGGATGATCCAGAATTAGTGGAAAAAATTCCTGTCCTGTGTTTTTTTATGAGATGAAACCCCAGAAAATCATAAATGCTTATGGCCTTAGTGTCCTTCTGTGCTAGGAGACCTTATCTAGAAATAGTGTTCCATCTGTCTATACTAAGAGTTCTCCATAACTTGCTCAGCCTTTTGTCTTCTATACATAAAAAAAATGTAATCCTTTTTTATTTAAATTTTGGCTAACAATTTTTAGTTCATTTGAACTAACTAGAGCAGACAGATGCTCCCACCTGGAAATACAGTCCACTTGTTCCTTAGACATATTTTTCCTTGGTAATTGTAGACATTAGCAAGGTTTCCTCTTTGCTTTATGTAGCTCCAAAGTACATATTGTGCTTCATTCAAGATTACTTGAATCCTTAGTAATGTGAATTTGCAGGTAATTTCTTTAGGCCATGTGATGATGATGGGCAGCAACTGCTCACTGTTAAGTCTTTGAATTGAGAACAGACTCTGTTTCAAAAGATGCTACGTTCAGACTCTGGTATGATAAAGGGTTGATAGTTGTTTTTGTTGTGCCTTTGTTTCTTGTCCATTTGTGAATCCCCTCTGGAGTCTTATATGTCTGCTAATGTGTCAGCTGTATTTTCAGGTTAATGAAATCATCACAAAGAAAATAAAGCTGCCAAAGGAAGCAGAAGAAAAGGAAGTGGAAGTGACCCGAACTAAGACTAAAGTTGTTCCTCTGCACTGTGATATCATTGGGGACCAGTTCTGGGAGGAATATCCTGAGATTCTGGCTGAGGATCGTTGATACCTCTGACAAGTAAATTGGTAGTTTACATTTTGCTCTGCTTGGGTTGTTGGCCACTGAGTAATACGGATGGTGGCTGGCAGAGTTTAACCTGTAACCCTCTTCAGCAGCTCCATTGGTTTTATTACTGTTGTTGCCTAAAAAGAAGACACTGGTGTGTTGTCTGGCATACAAGGATATGCCCATATGGAGAGCTAAAATCATATTATATTTTGAATGTTAAGAACTTGTCATAAGTTAAGACTGCTCCTTCCTTGTACACGTGTATTTGTAGAAAAAGTGTATAGAAATTCCCTGCATTTCTGTACCATTTAACGTGTGAGGTATTTTACTGAACTGCTGAACCATAAAAAAGCTTGCATATTTGAACAGAAAATTATTAATTTTATTTTTGTTTCAGCTGAGTTGGACCAGAATACTCAATTGGCATATAGTATTTCAATTCAAGGCCAGTGTGTTTGGTCAGATGAGTGACACACCATTCAACTGCCTAATGTCTGATTCTTACTGAAAGGAAATGGAGCAGCTCAACAGTTTCCTGACAGATCTTAAAAGTTTTTGTCAAATGTACAGGATTTTTATACTTGTAAAAATTAAAAATAATAATAATACCTTCTCTGGTATGGTTTATCATGTGGCCTTCCTCATTCCTGGGATTTTTACTAGTAAGTGGTGGAAGTTCCAAAAAGTGAAGTTAATAAAGATACTGTACAGACTGGAATTCTCTTAGGACAGGGATAGAGTTTTCTCACTTTCCATGGCCTGGGAAGTCACCTGTCTCCTACTGGGCAGGAGTGGCAGTAGCAACACAGGGGAACATTCCTGGTGCCTGCAAAGAGGGAGCCAATATCAACTTGTACTGCTGTTTTCTGATTTTCCTGGGAATGACACAGACATAGCAGTGCTGACAATCCGTGTTAGTTAGAGGGAAGAGAGAGGAATGTGTGTTGTCTGGTTAATGCACAGGTTTGTTCTGGTTTAACTATCAGTTAAGACCCTTTGTCAAAATAGTTAAATCATACAATCTCTCAGAGCAGAAAAAATTCTGCTAATGGATAGGGGCTTGGAACTTGAGAGAAATAACCTATTTCAGTGTAGAAACACAGCTATAATGACATAATAGGTATTTATAAGGCTATTACTACTTCTAACCATGCTGTTTTCAAAAACATGGTTCTGGAACAGTAACTGAGCCAGTTGTTACTAAGGGAGAGATAGTCAGCAGTTGGGACTGGCCATAAAAATGGAAAGAAAGGATCAAATGTGATTGAGAAGGTCATTCAGTACAGAGTTCATTTCCCATGAATTCACTTATCAATCTACTCTGTTTCCCCCTCCTGCAGGAAGAACTTGCACATTTAAGGCAATGTGCCTTTTGGTGGTCTTTTTTTAAAAACATGAGCCAGGTACTGATGTAAACTACTACTTTGTAGCTTCTTCCTGAGATTAAACAATGAGCCTGTGTGTTTATAATAGCACAGGGCTTCCCCTTCTGCTGCTCTGTGCTAATACTGAGCAGTTAAGAACATGCACTGAGAAGAATGTATTTTGCTTTTAGTTTGTAGAACAGGCCACAAAATTCTTAGGAAGAGGATGTGAGTGACTGTGAGATAAAGATTCTGAATGAATCATTCTACCAGTCATTTACCCCAAGAACTTTTTATCTGTCTGCTGGTTTTTTTGTCTTGTAACACAAATGTAACTTACTTGACTTTGAAATGCCATTTGTTACTGTCTGGTGCCTGACTTTGGACGTTACATACAAAGCAGCTGTTCCAGAACTGTTAACACTTTGGATTTACTCAGACTAAAGATGAAAAAAAAAAATTTGGCAACCATGATTCATGCTTAGAAAGTATTATGTAGGTTTTTTATCTTAAATATTATGGCCACCTTATGCATTATACAACATATCTATGTATGTACCTTGTATGTGTGTATAAAAAATGGGTCTGTATAAGTTCTTATCCTCAGAGTGTTTTCTAATTAACTCATCCTTACAATAATATGGAATAAGCCAACAAGTGCAGACTTTGTAACCGAGATATGGATTGTCTGTACAACCATGGCCTTTAATTTGTATTAATATAAATTCTAGAGAAAGAAACTCTCTGTGGCATCCTCATGCATAAAGTCATAGATATGACTTAATAGCTGTAGGGGAAAATAAATACTCCCAAGTTTCAAGCAGCAGCCCGGTGTTGGTGACACACACAGATTGACCTGTGCCTGTTCTTCCATGTATTGCTGTAGCTTAGAAGTCCTGTACTGTGACCCAGTGAAGAAAGAGGGGTTTTCTGTGCAGTTGGGGAATGACCTGTGACTGATGTATTGCTGTAACAGGCGGCGTTAAATGTACGGGAACCCATTATGAAACATTAATGGAGGTGGTGAATCATTACAGTAAAACCTCTCTGCAGCATTAATGGTGTTTCCTCGCTGTTCCTCAGAGAAGTGGTTCTGTGCTGTAGATCCTTTTATGGGTTAAAATGCAAATTATATTGCAACCACACGTTGCCCAAGTGCCATTTCATTGCCTGAGGCAGATGGGATTTGGTGCCCAGTCGAGGGAGCACCCCCAGAACCGCTGAGGGGCTCCAGGGTGGGCTGCAAGGGAAGGGTTGAACCAGGGGGTCTGAGTGAAGATGACAGAATCACAGAATTATTAGGCTTGGAAGCAACCTCTGGAGATCATCCAGTCCACTCCCACTGCCAAGGCAGGGTCATCTGGAGCAGGTGACACAAGAATGAATGCATCTAGGTGGGTTTGGAATGTCTCCAAAGAGGGAGACTCCATGCCCTCCCTGGGCAGCTGTTCCAGTGCTCTGCACCTTTCCTTTGACACCCTGAGAGACTCCCCCCTCAGTCTTCTCTAGGCCCAGCTCCTGCAGTCTCTCCTCATCAGAGAGATGCTCCAGACCCCTCACTAGCTTCATGGCCTCTGCTGGACCCTCTCCAGTAGCTCCTTTTCTTTCTTGCACTATTGCCAAAACTAACCCCCAGAACTGCTCCTCCCCTTGACCCGCCTCCCGTTTGGAGTCAGCAGTCCTTTACGGTGGTCGCTCTTTAGTCTTCTTCACACTGCCCTTTTCTTGAACTCTTACTTTTGGCACATCGTCAAGCCCTCTAGAATCAGTGTCCCTTTGAAACAGCGTGCGACCACGAGGACAGTTTTGACTAGTTTGCAAGCTTCGTGTTCCTTTTACCACTTCCACTTCCCAGAAGAAAGATACCCCTCAATCTTTTGAGAAGTTCCTGTCTGTCGAGAAACCCCCGACCTTTTACGTAACTTAAGCTACACTAAGAAGCTACACAGCCTAAGCTGTATGGTTCTGTGCGGCTACAGCACTGACACGAAGGGTGCCGAATGTGGCACCTCCAGGGCTCCCACAGCTCCCCGCCCGCCCGGCCCTCGCCCCGCGGGGCCGCTCCGCCCTCAGGGCCTTGCGCGGCAGCGGCTCCTAGTGGCGGCCGCGGGCGGTGCCGCCCCCGCAGCCCGGCCATGGAGGAGGGCGAGGCGGGCGCGGAGCCGCGGGGTCCCCCCGGGCGCCGCCGCTCGCCGAGCCCCGGCCGCCTGGACGTGAGCTCCAGCCGCTTCGATCCGCTGCTGGCGCTCTACTCGCCGCGCACGCCGCTGCCCTTCCCCGCCGCGCCCTGCTTCAACAACCTCGCCGAGTACGAGAGCTTCCAGCGCGGCCTGCGCCGCCCGCGCGGCCGCCGCGCCGCCCCCGCCCGCCGCGCCGCGCCCGCCGCCCGCGGGGCCCGCCGGGGCCCGCCCGCCGCCGACCCCGAGCGCATCCAGCGGCTCCGCAGCCTCATGGTGAACGCGGGCCCCGAGCAGGACGCGGCCGAGGGAGGAGCGGCGGCGCCGCGGCGGCGGCGGGCACCGCGCAATGTCCTCACCAGGATGCCCCGTAAGGGAGCGCGGCCCCGGGGGGGCTGAGCGGCGCTGGGGCGGGCGCTGGAGCCGGGGCTGGGTGCCGTGGGAGGGAGCGGCACGGTGGGGTCCGGGGGGATGGCGAGAGGGGCTGAGGTGGGTCGGGAGATGCGGTTGTGCCCGGATTGCAGTTGGGATGGAGTTTTGGGGAGTTTGGAGGTGAGAAGAGAGCGGTGGCTGGAGGAAGCGGTTGGGTGGCAGCGGGGCGTGGGTGGGTGACAGCGGGGGATGATGGCGTTCGGTCGGAAATGGTACTTAGGTGGTGAGACACTGGCACGGGTTGCCCAGGGAAGTTGTGGCTGTCCCATCCCTGGAGACGTTCAAGGCCGGGTTGGACGGGACTGAGCAACCTGGTCTAGTGGAAGGTGTCCCTGCCCACAGCTCAGGGGTTGGAACGAGATGACCTTCAGGGTTCCTTTCCAACCCAAAACACTATGTGATTCTATGAAATGGTGTGCTGGAATGAGGAACAGCATTTCACAGAGCTGGTCCCGCAGAGATGACACTGTTGTGGTCATGTCCTGTCTGACTTGGTGTGGTGATGTCTGTTATTTGGTTAGTGACATACATCCCCTTGGTTTTAAGGGGAAAAGGGATGAGAAACTGCTGGACTTTCAAAAGTACTATTTTAGACCAGGAATCAGATTTGAGTCCGTGCAGCTTATAGTTAAATCATAACCACAGGGTGAGTCTGTAACACACTGTTGTTACTTGGTTACTAACCATACATCCTGTGGGCATAAATACAGCACTGGCGTTTCTGTTAACATGATGGCAGAACAGTGGATTGAGGTGGGAGGTAGCTCTGATGTTGCTAAATTCATCAGTTGTGATGATGTACAAGTTTCTCGGTATAAATGTATATGTGCAATTGTGGTAATACCCCCTAAACATTAAGGGGTTCCACTTCTGCACCTACACCGAGGATCAAATGGCATTGCTATCAAATGAGATGTAACTTTAGTACTCTTAATTAACAATACTGGGGATTTTTTTGAATCAGTATCTCTTCACCACCATCACCTTAATGTTCTTTACATAAAAAGACAAAGCCCAAAATGTTCAGTTCTACCCAAAGCAGAACTTTTTTCTTGCTTAGACACCAAAACACAGTGTATTCATTGCTATATGTTATTAATCCTGGTACTTAAGAGCATCAGGATGATGCACAGGCAGATTTGGCTGCATGCAGAGCCTGGTCATTACAGCCCCTGGTGCTTGCAGAAGAGGTGTGTTCCAAAAATAAATTCCTTGCGTTGGAAGGACAAATATGCATTGCATATTTTTTCTGAGATGTCAGGTTGTTTAGAGGGTTTTGGATGATGTGTTCTGCCCTTTTGATCAGGTGAAACTGGAGGTTTGCCGTGGAGAAGCCAGAACCTTACACAGCAAGGAAAAGTGGGCAGTCTAGATTTGGTAGAGCTGTATAGTGTTTGCCAGGGTGCTGACAGGCAGAGGCATAGTTGGAAATAAGGATTGTATTTGGATTTTTATAAAAAGGTGTAGATAAAATTTATATGTAAAGGGAATATTGGAATTTAAAATTAAAAAAAAATCTAGATTTTAAATTACTATTCAAATTCTCAGGGTTGGTTAGAAAAAGTGCTGTTAACTGATTAAAAGCATCAATCTGATGTTGTGGTGGTGTCATCTCTGGTTCCCAGGGTGGATCTGTGAATTCAGAACATAAGTTTATCATCAGTTCAACTGAAGGAGGCACAGAGACTCACAAAAAGACCCTCATAAGCAAAGCTGGGAGGTGCTGAGGTAGCTTATGCTCTGTGTGAAACCAATTTCCTCCAGTTATCCTGCTGGAGGGGGCTGGCAAGAGGACAATGGATCTCAAAAAATAAACGTGATTAGGTTAATTCAGAAGAAACTGCTTTAGATTTCCCTGCTGTGGCTGTGAATTACCCTGCAGCCCAATCCTGCAGATCAGCTGTCATACAGTAACTTTACACTCACAGGAAGCATTTTCCACTGTGCAAATCAAACCTTGAATACATAGTCCCTAAAGCACAAGGTGAGAGATCATCTCTGACTCACATATTTTATTAATATGAAGAACTGTGTGAGATTTTAGACCAAGTCTTTTCCCTGACTCTCAGTAGGAATTTTACAGCAACCCTGAGGCTGTGTTTGCACAGGCAAATGGGTACCTGTGATTTATCACTGTGATGGCTTCATCATGACGTGGGTGGAAGTGGTAAAGTAAATAAGATTTACCCGCTAGATGACTTACAGTTGCAAAGATTTCTAGTGTGCAGATGAGACTTGTGTGTGCAAAGTAAGGCATGTGTTGTACTGAATTCCTTCAGTTTTGCCCTGGCTAAAAGCATTATTGTCCTGTGGTTTAACATGGTTTCATTGCTGGCTGCTGCTTAGAGTCGTGTTCCTCTGCCGAATATTTGTATGTCTTTGAAGGATGTTCAGTTGGCTGCTGAAATTTGAAGTGAAACAACACATTTTCATCAATTTAAAGTGGTCTGGTTTAGTTTGTTGAGGGATTTTGAGTCATTGTTTCAGAAATCTTCTCATAAAGGAAAGGAACACATCTGATACAATCCTTTATTCACAGATCATAATTAATCCAGGGTAGTCTTAACAAGGCATTTGTCTTTTCTGGGAAACTAACTCTGCCCCCATGAGCTTTCTGTTCCCTCTGAACCACTTTTATTTACAATTAGCATTACTTAGCATGAATTTGAAATGTAGTTAAAAGATTTTCAGCTAAGGCTGATTCGACTGTGGGTTATGTAAAGCAAAACCTTCATGTTTTATGAAGTCTTGGCTGTCCCCACCATAATAAGAATTTTGGTGGTCTGGTAATTGCAGCTGCAGTGTGTTACAGTGCTCTGGGGCTTCTCGTTCCTTTTACTGTGAAGACAAGTGTCGTGCCAAGATGTGCCATATTTGTACATAGAGTAGATTTCTACATTACTTTTTTTTCTCTCTCTCTGTATATGTAGTTACAAGATAATGTAGTGATAGAACAAGGGGGAATGGCATAAAACTGGAAGACAGTAGGGTTAGATTAGGTATTAGTAAGAAATTATTTACTGTGAGAGTGGTGAGGCCCTGGCACAGGTTACCCAGAGAAGCTGTGGCTGCCCCATCCCTGGGAGTGTTCAAGGCCAGGTGGGATGGAGCTCTGAGCAACCTGGGATAGTGGAAGGTGTCCCTGCCCACAGCAGCAGAGTTGAAACTGGATGATCTTTCAGGTCCCTTCCAACTCAAACCATTCTATGATTCTATTCTATGATTCTTTATATTTTGTTGAAGACTGGTGACGTTCTCTTTCTGTTTTAGTCCATGAAGGCAGCCCTCTGGGGGAACTTCATCGCTGTGTCCGAGATGGTGTCAAAATCAATGTTCACATCCGCACTTTCAAAGGGCTTCGTGGAGTCTGCACAGGGTTTCTGGTTGCATTTGACAAATTCTGGAATATGGTAATTATTGTTCCAGCTCTTGATTTATAACTGTTATACTGAAAACTTGAAATTTGCAACAGGTTTAAGCGGACAACATTCCGAGAGGATTAATGTGGTATTGTGGTGCACAAACTAATTTGCTCTGGCACCAAGTGCTGGGTTTCAGATGTAAGTGGTGCTTGGTGTTGGGCTGGTCCATCTGGGAGGTGCCCAACCGTTTTAGAGAGGATTTAGATGAGAGAGAAGCTTTGAAGAGTTCCCAGCATCTTCAAAGAATTCATGATTGTGGAATATAAGGAATATCAGAAACTTCCAAAGGTTTCTCTGCAAAACCCAATCTTTTTGTAGTGATTGTTGCTTCATTGTGTTCTTTCACTAACATCACTGGGCTGTCAGTGACAAAAGCTTTTCTCTGTGCTCTACCCCATGAACATCTTAAAGACAGAGGATGGAAAAGCAGCAATTAAATATTTGCGAGCCTGGAGCTGTGAAAAGTTTGGAAATGGGGAGGTGGGAAGGATTTTTCAGGCAAGGCTCAGAAAGGTTTTGCAAGTAATGCAGAATGGATTTAATGCTTTGCTGCTGCTTTTATACCTCAGTACAATTTAGATGATTAACAAACCAGCTCCAAAGCACAGTTTGTTCTTTGGAGAGATGGATTTTCTCTCAGATAGAACATAATTTCATTATGCCTTGACACAGAGCTGGTCCAAAGCTGCTTAATGTCTTCTTTTAATTTTGACCTTTCCGTTTCTTTTCTCTTCTCCAGGCCCTGACAGACGTGGATGAGACTTACAGGAAACCAGTAATGGGCAAAGCTTTCTATGCAGAACCTCAGCTCACACTGACCCGAGTAGGTGACCATCTCCAGTTTTCTTTTTTTAATTAGTATCTCCTTTTTCAAAGTAGTAAAAGGGGAGCATTGATTGGAAAACTGTATTTACATTTGAAATATTTTACCTCCTTTTATTACAGATGACTATAAAATGACTTGAACTGAGGGAAAAAAAATAACCCAAAATGTTTTCTGACCTTTTTGAAAGTACTTTGGCCGTAGTTCAGTGCTACTAAAGTTCCACTTTAGGGCCCCTGTTATTCAGAACATAGTTGCTGCCACTGCTTAGTTCAATATGCTGAGCTTCTAGAAGCTCTGGTTTTTGATTTATTTGTTCTGTGTGCTTTTTGCACCTGTGACTGATCAGGTCCATGTTTGTCCTGCCAGGGAATGTGGCAGAGCATCCCTCTGGTACAGCTGTTCATGGAGCCACAGTCTGTGTCTGCAGCCAGTGAAACAACACGGCTGTTTGGTCACTTGAGCTTCTAGCCTGGGTACTGTGGAGCCCAAGATTCTTGCTCCAAAGCAAGACACACTCTACGATCCAGCTGCAAACAGAGTTGTTTACCAAGTTGAGAACTGAAGAGATGATAAATGAACTTCTGAACAATGAAGGGGAAAAAAAGTGACAGGGCTGTGCCCGTTGTATGGCAACAGCTCTGGGCCTTTTTGAACATCAGAGAAGCATCACAAAAACATTTAAACAGTTTCATTGTGAGGAGTTTGCTTTCAAATTCCTGCCATTTAAATCCGTTTTTTGATAGATCCCACCCTTCCTTTTTTAAAGATTAGTTAAAAATAATCAAGTTGTCATTGTTCCTTTAGCCCACTCTCACAGGGATTGGCTTTCCATCCTGTTGCTGGGACAAGACAGGCTAACCAAGAATCCTTCTCATTTGTCAGTGTTTCATAAAAGCTTGCCTGCTGCCAGAGTAAAAGCAGTTTCTTTCCCAGTTTCAGCACCATGTATTCTTAGATTAATGAGTTCATGCAGTGCTTTGGATCTGCTGCTGTAGCTTTTATTATTTTTCTGTTGTTTGTGATCTGCTCACATCCCAGAATACCCACACGGCAACTTTTAGTTTGCTTTGGGGAACACAAAAGATCCCTCATTTTTTCAGTGTGCACCCTTTGCTAGTGGAGACCCCTTATCTTAGGCATTCATGACACAAGGATGTCTCTAACACTGACAACATTACAACAGCACTGGGAAAATGAGCTCATGGAGCAACTTGGTGTCTCTCTGTTACTCTTGACCAACGTTAAATGCTACCACACAGCAGGGTTGCTCCCCAAATTAAATTCCTTGGTGCTCACATAAAGACGTGCAAGAGATCCATTCACCTTGTGTCACTGTTTGACTTGGGTAAGAAAACATTGTCTTTATTGGTGGTGAAGATTCTTCACTGATTGTGTCTTGTGAGCTCTGATTTAGGATCATACACACAAATACCACGTGTGGAACAAGCAGCCTCTCTTGTTTTATGAATGTGGTCATAGACACAAATGTCCTTTTACAGCTGTTTGACAGACTCAAACTTCAGGAGTCCTCGGGGAAGAAGGGAGCTGACTCAAAGACTGTCTCAGAGGAGCTGGCCCTGACAAGTGACTCTCAGACGCTGGGATCAAAAGTTGGATCAGGACGAGGGAGAGCGGAAGAGGAGCGTGAGAGGCAGAAACACTCGGGCAGAGCTGGAGAAAAGAAGACGCCAGGTGACAGTTTGGTTGCCGGAGGTGAAGCTGATGTGGGCAGCAGGACTGCCCACACTGAGGGTGCCAGTGCTGGTGGCGCCCGTGCACGAAGCCAGTCCCGGAGGAAAAGGCGGCCCAAAGTGGATTATCAACAGGTGTTCACACGTCACATAAACCAGATTTTTATTCGAGGAGAGAATGTCTTGCTTGTCCATTTAGCACATTGACTTGGCTGAGCTTTGGTCAGCGTATTTGTTTGATAGCATGACTTGCTGCAGCAGCTCCCATTGCTATTTAAAGTTGTCATTGAGTTTGATGGTACCATGGCTGGTTTCCCATTGCCATAACAAGGTAGGGGAAATAATTGTAAGTAGAGCATCCTGAGCTTGATGCCAAAGCAGCTTCCTTAGATCCCTGTTGGGGGTTTCAGGACAAGGTCAGCAATGGAGTTGTTTCTGCGATATGAGGGAGGTAAGCACAGATCCCACTGCTCCTTAAAAAGAAGCTAAATGGAGAGGGTTGGAAGAGAATTTTGGTGTAATCTGTTATAGGAGCTACTTGTGGCACATGTTTAAGGAGCTTAAGATAAGACCTCCACCTGCAATGAATCAGAAATGCTCTTTTGCATGTTCTGAGAAATCTCAAGAGGAGATTGCTGATGAAACCAACAGTTTATCTGCTGCTGTTACATGGGTGTCCTCTTTTCCAGACATAATTCTGACAGTCATTTTGAAACAGTTTGTAAAAAGGTGGAGTGACATACTGCTGATGGCTATTGCCCTGTGTGATAGAAAACTTTTTAATTGAAAACTGCTCGTCTAATGTGAGTGATGATAGGACTGTAATTTGTTTTCCATATCAAAGCTTAGGCTTCTCTTTGTAGTGCTGTGCTTTGGCCCTGTGTCACCAGCAAGCAGGTGATGTAGCTGATCCAGGGGCCTCCATATTTGGGGTTTATCTGTGAATGCTGTGGATGCAGATGGAAAATTGTACTGTTACATTTCATCCATATACTACTTAGTGTAATAGTGAAGCTGGCAAAGGTGTAGGGTTTTTCTCAGATGTGTTTGTGCTGAGCACACTTGTACTGTATCTGAGAGCCTTTCAAGCTCTCTATTGAAACTAGAGGTGCTGTGCCTCCAGCAATTCCCATGGAGCAGAAATCTTCATGGATCTTTCCTATCCAAGTGAATGATGCATCATCTAATTCCAGTTGAACTGAGGTTCGGAGGTGTGGCTGAAAATGTTTTGAAATATAAAAGTCAAAGTCAACTCATCAGTGTTTTATTTTAAAAAGACTATTAAAGCCAGGGTTCTGCAGGAATAAACTAATTTCCAAGAGAGTCATGTGGAGAAGTTTCAGGGTAAATGAAGCTGTTATATTATCTAGTCTGTTAGCTTCATTGTCCAAGGACACTAGAATTCATGCTGCTATTCCTGTATTCATCTCAACTGCCTTGTGCTTTGCAGCAGATCCGTGTGTTTAGGATGAAGTTGGGAAATTGCTTTATATCAGGTCTTGTATTGCATATAGGGGTCATAAGTTCTCAAATTGAGTGACTGTTCTGTGGGTGACGTAGATGTCTGCTGCTGCAAATGCAGCATTCTGCTTGCTTGTCTTTAGGGGGATGTCTGGTGTTTGGGTGAATCACAGAAATCATTTAGCAGGAGTTCCTGGACACACAAAGCAGCTGGTTTTGCCTCTGGGGGAGCCTGAAGCTTCTGTCAACATTTCAGGTGACAGGGGGCTTGGACAGCTCATGAGCTGAGCCAGTGAGCTGCAAACCCTGGTTCAGCCTGGGACAGAAGTGCTTCAGAATAAAAAGTGCTGTTGAGGCAAAACAGTTTCATCAAGAGCAAAAAAGAAAAGAAAAAATGAAATACTATCTACAGCTTCTTATTATACATTGCTTTATTGTAATCCCTTCCCACTATGAACTGAGACCAGGCACTGAAAAGATTCTTCTCTTAGAGGCTCTTGTTTCCTCTCCTGTGCTGTTCTTGTTTGTGTTCCTGTGCTCTGCAGTTTTTCCCTTTTTTTCTTCCCCCTTTCTCCTGTCAGTACTTTGTCTCTTCAGGATGTTCTAAACCCTGGTTTATGAAGACTGTTCTTGTATTCATCCCTAGTTGTTCTGGCTTTCTGAACCATTCTTGGTTGGCTTTCTGTGTGGTTCCCAACTAACCAGAACCCTCACAAATTACTAGAAACATGTGAAGCTAGAAACAAGGTGCTTATTTCTGCTCCTGACTTCCCAGCAGCTTTTATTGCAAGTGAATATTTTCTTCATTCTGTTTTTGATTGGGGGGGGGGGTTTGCCCTCTGTTTTCTGACAGCTTTGTTTTTTATTTCAGTTGCTTAGGATGACTCCTCTCTGCCTTTTCCATTCTTGCCAGAGGCTGCTGGTTTTGACCTCTCCTCTTTCCTTCATATTTGCCCAAAGGATGTCAGACTACCCTCAGGCCTGTGTACTACTACATCTAATTGAATTCTTGCTTTTCTTTACCTCTTGTTCTTAATTCTATTTGTCTGCTTTGTATTGCCTTGTGCATTAAACAAGGTACAACTGCCATGAATGTTCTTGTGGCTGTCCTGCCCTCCTTCCTTGTCCATTGACACTTCCCCAAGTTCTCAGTTGCTACTGGAACTGTGTCTCAGTGTTTCCTTTAATCAGAAGTTTTTCTCTGAAACCTTGCAGGTGTTTGTTGCTTCACATTTACAAGTTCCTTTGTTTACATTTTATGAAAAATACTGGTGCTTAGACTTGCGTTTGTGCCTTGATTTTTGTATCATCCCTAACCTGTTCTTCCAGAATCATCACCTTGGGTCAGCAAACCTGGTTAAAAACTATAGTTTGTCTACTTTTTTTGCACTACCTCATTACTAAAATGTTCCTCCTCTTATCTGTGAAGTTGGTTAAAATTCTCTCTTCCAATTCAGATTTTATGGTTTATTTGTTGCTTCTTTGTTTGTTTCCTACTTTCCTGTCCACCTTTCTCCTTATTTCCAAGCTGCTTCCTAAATACAGCTGCCTCTTCTACAACTTCAGATCTTCCAAAATGTCTTCCTTTTCCCACTTCTTCTGGCATTAAAGCGCATTATTAAAATGCTATTTTATGGATTTTGTCTCTTTCAAGCATCATGATTGTGATTAAGCAAGTGATCCTGTATGTGTGTTGTCACTTGCATGTTTAAAACTTCAGATAATGTTGCTCTTTAAATAAAATTGAATGTCATGTTCTGAAATGAATTCTTCTACCTCACCTAAGTATTGACATAAATCTGTTCCAAAAAAAAAAAAAAAAAAAAAGAAAACAACCCTTGGAAACAAATGAGCTTTGGGTTTGGTGTTGGTTTTTTTTCTGGGTTTTTCTGTCCATGTTTTTTTTTTCCAAACTCAGCATCAAATTTTTGTTCAGAAAGCTGTCTGCTCCCAGCCTTCCCTCTCTTGGTTGCAGTGTCACAAAGATGCTGTGAGCAAAGACACACCAAAGGAATGAGGAGTAGGAGCAGGAGACAGTCCTAGGAGACAGAAAGATGTGTGAGAGTGAAAGAGGTTTGGGCAGGTATGAAGAACCTCTGAAAAGGATCCACCGGTTCCCTGGCCCATATTTCTAGGACTTTGCTCATCCTGGTGCTCAGCGGTGGTTCCTAACGTGTGTTTGTGGTGAGGTACCGAATTATAGGGAGCAGTTTTCTGAACTAACTTTGAAGGAGTGTTGGGATAATTTGAGAAATTTTTAGGATAATTTCTAAAACAGCAGACAAAACAAAACTTGTGAAATGTGGCCATGCCAGGTGCAGAAATGATGTAATGCCACAGTCTTGGAACGTGATGTCACAGAGATATCTCATGGTGTCATCGTGTATCTTTCCATTCCCAACACAGTCCAGCAGGGAGCCAAGTCTCAATTTTAAGAGTGGCAGTTTTATTTGTACAGTGAAGTGGTTTTGCCCAGTTTTTACCTAACACTTCTTAAACAGAGCTGTGGTAGTAGAAGAGGTAAGGCCGAGGGGAAAAAAGGAGCTTGTAAAAAAGGGTGGTTTTAGTTCCTTCTCTCAGCTGACTAGTCCAGCTTGTTAATTGCCTGGAAGTTTTTTTCCTGATCTAGAGAGGTACTTAGCACGTCCTCCCCAGGTGATTAATGAATTAATCAGTGAGTGCTGTTTTCCATCTGCTTCTTGTCCTTCAGTTTTTGGATTCGTCGTTTCTTTTGCAGCTTTCCCTCAGCAGGGCAAGATCAGGAATAAACCTGACTGCCTGCTGATTTTTCCCCCTCTGTAAGGAATGTTAGCCCACCTAGTTTTGAATCCAGATAGCCTTTGCCTGTTCTTGATTTTCATAGTGTTCTCTTCACACTTCTGGAATTATTTGGTCAGAAGAATTATTTGTCTTGGATGATAGTACTTTTGGAAGTAAACTGAAAAATTTTGAAAAACAATTTTGTTATTTATTTTCCTTCCCACAGTGCTAGGTTTTCCTTGTTTGCTGTTGCAGCCACCCACTTGCACCTGTAAATCACTGTGGGTGAAGAGGTGTCCAGGAAAAGAGAGGCAGAGAAAAAAAGGTGTCTAATTTTTATTGAATTTGACATTCTGTCTAACATGCTGCCTACACTCACCCCTTCTGTTTCTTACTGCCACTGACGTAAATGACACAGGTGGGGAAAATGACTTCATCCAGGGTCTTGAAGGAAAATGGAGAAGCAGCAGGGACAGCAAACTGAGTTTTTGAGGATGTTTATCTCCAGGTGAACTTCCCATCTCTGATCAAACAAATCAGAGTTATAACTACCAAATTACACTGCAAGCTCTGCCACTGGATAAAACTGGAAGGCACAGTATTGCACCTTTTCAGGGGTAATGCAGTGATTCCCTCAGCCAGGCAAGCTCTTCCCTGAGAAGCTGCTGAGACATATGCCAGTGTCTGCCTCAGAGCATAACTGCAAAATACTGCCAATTACTATGAAGATTTTTGTCTCCTGCCTGCACAGCCGAGGCTAAAACATAAATGCTGAGGTCTGCATCATCTGCAGCCCAGAACTATTTCAGTTCATGCTTTTGCTTCTTGACATTGGCTTAAAAATTTGAGGTGTGTACTATAGCAATCCTAAGACAGCCTTCGTTATAACATTATGAAAAGCTATTACTTACTAGAAATAGTATTGGAAAACTAGAGTATTACAGAATTTGTGGAATTCTTATTGTAATTAAGATATTGCAAACCAGGAAAGGCTGAGAGAATTGACATTCTCTCAGCTGAGACAATTAGGGATGACCTAATTGCAGCCTTCCAGCACCTGAAGGGAGCCGACAAGAAGGATGGAGAGAGACTATTTACAAGAGTATGTAGTGACAGGACAAGGGGGAACAGCTTCAAATTGACAGAGTAGGGTTAGATTACATATTAGGAAGAAATTCTTTACTGTGAGGGCAGTGAGACACTGGCACAAGTTGCCCAGAGCAACTCTGGATGCCCCACCCCTGGAAGTGTTCAAGGCCAGATTGGATGGGGCTTGGAGAAACCTGGTCTAGTGGAAGGTGTCCCTGCCCATGGCAAGATGGAATGAGATGTTCTTTTAGGTCCCTTCCAACCCAAACCATTCTGTGATTCTGTGAAATGTGGAGAAAACTGTTATCCTTTGCTGCCGTCTTTTTTACTTATTAGTAGCAGAAAAAACTAAGCCCTTTGGGAAAGGGTAGGCAAGGCAGTCTGATGGTCCTCGTCTGGGTAGGCACTGCAGGATTGGTGCACTTGATGGAGACTTTTCTTGATGGAAAAAAAAAAGGTGTGTAATTTCCTGTAAGTATAACACATACCTCTCTGTACATTATCCCAACTGTAGCCTTTCATGGCATGCTGAAAGTGGGAAAGCAGGCAAAGAAAGAGGAGTGAAGAGGAATTACTCGGTGATAACTCCTTGACATGGAAAGTGGCTTTCTAGCCTGTGGACTTGGGCACAATCAGGCCAGCACTGGGCAGTTGTGCTCTGTAGGGGAAGGGGGAGATGCAGAGACAGCCCTTGAGTGCAGCTTCCCTTGTGCTGTGAGCCTTTCACAGCACAGGAACTGCCCCTGGAATATCTGCCAGGCTCTTTCACTAAAAACTGACATGTTTGATCCCACCTTTAAAATTTTGCAGGGGAAACCCAGTGGGATAAAAAACAAGTAAGCAAATTTGCCCTGTTGAGGCAGGGATGGAGGAGACTTGGTTGTCCTTGTTGGCTTCCCAGGGGTGCAGGAGAAAGGACTACTTTAGTGGAGAAATAGCAGAGATGTTTGTCTGGTGATGTTTACAAGTCCTTTTAGATGTCACTAAGTGCTCTTGCTCTTAGCTGTTGGCAGGGAAGGCCTGTCAGGGAAGGAAAATGCCTTCTGATGTTCCTGGATAACTATCTTGTTAGCTTCTAGCTTTGTAGTGTACACTTGGATGACTTTGTTGAAAAAAATTAGTGCACCTGAGACTTTCAGTCAGCCTTGTATTCGTTTAGAATGAAAAACAGTTTGATCAGTTTGTGTGAAAACATATCCATCCTGTTTTCCTCTCAAAAGATCAGTGCTCTCCCTCAGGAAAGAAATGAAAGCTGCTCCTATAGCGATTGCTTCTGATTTTCACTACTTCAGAGCAAAGTGCAGCTGTGTCCTGTGTGTTCAGTGAGACACATCACTCTGAGAGGAGGAAATGAGAGAAGTGTTTGGTTTGCCTGAAACTAAAATGGGCATTAGGAGGGGAGCAGATGCATTGACCTCTTTTCAGATAGTGCACACATCCACTGTAGTTGGACAGATTGGGACTTGTTGACCAATCAGTCACCTATAGAGCTTCCTTAAGGAACCACAGAGGAGCAGCATGACCTGCCAGACTGACGTGGGACTGGGAGTCAGAGGCTGACAAATTCTTGTCTCTCTGCTCCTCACTGTGGCCTTCACAAGTCACTTTGTTCCCTCTCCCTGACTCTCCACAGCTGCAACACTTCTAAGAGCAATCCTTGCCTGTCTTGCAAGGATCTGGGGAGGTGGTAAGTGCAAAGTATTGTTATTAAAACTATCCCTGTCAGGTAATGCAGGTACATCCACCATCTGCCCTCTCCAGGCACGTGACTGTTAGACTCACACCTTGGCACATGAAACCTGTGCAGGGTATCAGGTACAACAATGCACTTCAGTCTTGAAATTACTGACGTCTTCAAGGACTTCAATATCTTGTTTCACAGCTGCAGTTCCACGTTTGGGTCAGATTGTGATAAATGAGAGTGTAACTTGTTTGTAATTCCTTCTCTCTCTTCCTAAATATTTTGTTTCTTAGGAAGCTGATGCTGCTATGAACATACTGAATAATACTGAATTTGCAATATCCTGCTTTCCAGATGTAAATGTTTATATTTAAAATTGCTACGACTGCAATGCAATAAATATATCTGTGTAACAGTTTGCCTCAAAGCATGATTTTTTTTTTTGTGCTCTGCCAATACACTTGTGTCAGTGATGGAGCTCCTACTGTGGTGGTGAGGACCACCTGGATGTGGAGACCACCAGGTTTGGATACAGTATTGCTGTCTAGTCACATGGTTTGTGAACAAACCCCTCATGTGTGTTGAAAAGGGTATTAATCTACAAAATAGGAATATAATTATACCTGTCTTGTAGAAGTGCAAAAGGGAAGTGAACTTCATGTTGAAGAACGTAACAACCATTGGCCTGATCACTCAAAGGTCTATTTCCTTAGTATGTGGTCTTCCACCATGCCACCAGGAGATGGTTTTTCAGGAATTGGGGAGGTCCGGAGCCAGCATCCAAGCATCTGCTCTGGTGTGTGCATAGCCAGCGGGGAACCTGTCTTCCAGGAATCTTTCTATTCCCCAGGTAAGTGATGCTCATGTATTTGGATCAGAGATTTTTTTTTAGGAAGAAATTGTTCCCTGTGAGGGTGGTGAGGTCCTGGCACAGGTTGTCCAGAGAAACTGTGACTACCCCATCCCTGGAAGTGTTCAAGGCTGGGTTGGCTGGGGCTTGGAGCAACCTGGGATAGTGGAAGGTGTCCCTGCCCATTGCAGGGAGTTGGAATGAGATGATTTTAGCTCCCATCCAACCCAAACTGTTCTAGGATTCTGTGTTAACTCTGTGGTTTAGCATTGGAGATGGTAACATACCCATGCTCTGGAATTCTGATGTTTGCTAAAGGAGTAGTTCTCATTGCAATAGGAACTGTTTAAAGAATAAAATTTGCAGTTTAAAGCCAGGAGTGGCAATATGAGGATGCATGTAATGAGCAGGATCTGACAGAATTCACAGAAGAGGTCTGCAACCCGTTGACTTTGATTTGCATTTGAAAGTGTTGTTTTACACTGGAAGTCTGCCCTGTCTTCCATATGTTGGGTGTTTCCCTGATTTCTTACAAGATGATTTACAGCCAATATGGCAGTAGACTCGTGGTCTTTTAGAGTCCAGCTGTAAAGGGATCATTCTGGGATACTCCTGGTTGTGCAGATCCTTTTAAAGGGTGATTTGGGAGAGTGAATAGTTTTGTGTAAAAATTCTCTCTGCCAATTGCCCAGAGGGTCAAAGCAAAAGGAGAATCCAGCCCGAGTGCTCCCTCTGGGGAATCCCATCCAGATGGGAAGTGGATGGGCACGAGGGTAAGGGGTACTCCCACTCTGTGCAGGGACCCTGCTCCAGGGAACCCCATCCCAGGTGGGAGGTGAATGGGCACGGCGGTGGGTGGAGGGATCCTCCTGCTCTGAGCAGGAGCCCTGTTCTCTGGGAAAGAGCAGGGGATATCTTCAGGGTTCTGGATTTCTCCTTTCCATGGGCATTAAATGCTCCAGAAAGGTTGTTCAAAGACTCCCCTGCATGCTGCAGCCCTTCAGCTGCTCTGTGTTCCGCTGGGAATCTCGGACAGAGCCTCTCCCCAGGTCCAGGCAGCGCAGCCATGGAAGCGCCAGGCGGGCTCCTAACCAGCAGGAATCCGCTGATGCTCCCGTCGGGATACAGGTGAGATTCGGACACACCGGAGGTACCCCAGCTGCTGACATTCCCGGGCTGACATTCCCGGGCTGACATTCCCGGGCTGACATTCCCAGAGCCCCGCCCGCTCCCGTTCCCGCTCCCGGCCGCCAGGGGGCAGCAGCGCGCAGGGAAACCCCGCGGCGGCGGCTCCGGGATCCCGGGAAAAGGGGGGAGACGGGGGGACATCCCAAAAACCGCGCCCAGGGAACGCTCCTGCGGGCACCGCGCTGGGACACGGGCAATGTGTGTTTGGGGGTGTGCGCTCCACACCGCCCGGCTGCTTCACAGGGCGCAGTGATGTGTTTGCAGAGCATCGCCCCTCTCCTGACTGGCCAGATCAAGTTTTCCCCCCCTAAAAACAGCTGTCCTGGAGTGGTGGCATGGCTGGAGTCACTGGGGCCGAGCCCTCCCACAATCACAGAGTCATTTAGGTTCGACAAGACCTCCAAGATCATCGAGTTCAATCTTCGACTCATCCCCACCTTGTCAACTAGACCAGAGCACTGAGTGCCACATCCAGTCGTTTCTTGAACACCTCCAGGGATGGTGACTCCTCCACTTCCCTGAGCAGCCCTCACCTCCAGGCCAGGTCTGACAACAGGGTTGGCGGCAGAATGGGCCAAAAAATTAGTCCCCATGTGTTGTCTTAAGGGTGTCTCTGCAAGCTGAGTTCTGGGTTTGCACCAGAGCCCGCAAAGGGAACCCTGGGGTAGGCAAAACATCACCGAATTTATCACAGGGAATGCACAGACACGAATCTGAAGAACTCGATGGGAGGCAGCACTGGTGGAGGGAGCCATGGCCAGGCCAGGCTGCAGGAGCAGCTCTCCCAGGTAACCTCTGTGGGTGGTTTGGGATATAAGAGGAGTCCTCTAGCTGTCCAGCATGGATGAGGATGATGGCTGCAGGAAACACTGGCTGTGGGAGGAGCACAGAAGTCGGTGCTGTTGGGTCTGCTGGAACACTCTGGAAACAGTGACCACTGGCAGTGCTGCCCAGGCTGTAAAACAGCACTCTGTGGGTGCCCGTATCTTGTCATATATTTACAGGAAGAAATCATGAATAATTTATACACAGTGTGCAGTTGATCCTATAAAATACTGTTCTTTGAGAATATGGATGCTGTGGCAGAGTTATCTGTAAATGCGACAGCACAGGCTTGAAGAAGGAAACCACCCCTTGCTGTCCTGCCCTTCAGGGCATGAGGCTCAAGCTTGGTACATTTTTTCCATCAGAGTGTAGTCAATGGAACAATTGTACAACGTGTTGATCAGGAAAAGGATGTGGGAGCCTGAGTGGAAAAACTGATGGTATCGTGCTAATGGCACTGAGCAGCAGGAAGGAT